ACGCTTTAATTCGGCTCTTTGGATCCTTACTCATGCAGCAAAGCATCCAAAGGTGAACTGTAATCACGGTCGCCACCAAGCTCTTTTGTGAAATGAAATAACAGATGAAAAGAAGGGGAAAATGCATCTTTAAAGTTTGCCCTCGCGTAAATGTCAATAGAGAACCTTTTCCAACATCTGCAGTAAATTCACATTGATGGCTCTTTTCTTCTCTGTATCGATCCGGCCATGAGAACGTAGATTTGTATCTGTTAATTAATGCGTCCTGAAACAGCATTTGTATTAATCAGGGAGATAAGAAAAATTGGATGCCTGCACTGGCATGACAACCGTAAAAGCGCGAGCCCCTGATAAAATCATTGATGGACCTCAATAAAGAGGGAAAAAAAGTTCTTCCTTCCACTCAATAAACTAATCATCCGGCTTTTAATTATTCTGCGGAGAGATGTGTGGAGATTGGGGAATGTGTAAATCTAATTATTTACTAACAGCAGTGGCTGAGAGGGAGGGCTGGGAGTGGCACAGGGGGAGCTCTAGGCGATGGGCTCCGTCCATCTGCCACTCCACTCCACAACCCCCTCCCCACCTGCCCCCTGCCTTTATTTTGTCTCTCTGTTTGTCCCTCGTGCTCTCATTCTCTTTGTCCCTCTGTCTCTCTCTCTCTCTGTGTCTCTCGATCTGTCTTGATACATGTCTTCGGTGGTCCATCATTCAGTATGATTTGTTTCTTTTCGTGATAAACTCTACTGATGATAATCTTTTAAATGTGCTGCTAGTGTTACCAACCGGAAGTGCACAAATTATAATATTTGTGTCTTCCATTGGTTCAAATTGGGACAAATTCCATTGGGTCTTCCATTGGGACAAACAGATTCCAAACTTACACCATTGGTTGAGTCAGTGTTGATGAGTCAGAGCAAAAGCGCCACAGCGTTTATTGTTTTTCGAAAGGTGAATCTACCAATGGCTTACTTGTACTTATATTACTGTGTATTTAAACATGAAAAAGCTTTTTAGATATTCAATCAGATACTCAATACCACATTATTTATAGTCGAAAGTATGCATATGATTTGTTATTTTTATTTAAAATGAGTTTTGAAATCTGATTTGCATATATTCAAAGTATGTCCATGGATTTTTTCCAAATTCTCAGCAATATTAAAGGATTACACATACCTCTCAGGAGGCCAATCAGAGTGTGATCTTATTTTTAGTCCATGCCACCTTTCATTGAGGCCACTGTTTTTGTAAGAATGCAGCGGTCTTACATTGGACCCCCTTAAGAAATTCTTGGCTTAATCCCTTTTGATGATTTTATTAAGTAGTAGAAGATGGCCCTGCCAACTGGCATTGAGCACACTAGCACCAGCAGGCCAGGGGAGGCACCAACTGCTCACCAGCTCTTAGTCTGCCTCTAATGAGATCAGAGATGTTAACAGTTTGGGATAATAAATTAGCGGTTGGTATAAACAATAGCCCGAAACCTATACCTAATGAGCTCCTTGCCATTAGTGATTAACTCACAGAAAGAGATTTCAAAAAAGAAAAGAAAAAATGAGTGAAATTGCTTGCTTCCTCTGAAGGCATCTCTCCACAACAGATGTTGGTGAGCATCTTTTTCCTCATGTTCCCCCGCCACCCAGATTAGCCCCCTCACTCTCGCAAAGAGAGATGCTTCATCTGTTCTTGGAAGAGCAGAGCGAGTGAGATGAGACGAAAAGGTCCAACACCAACAGGTGCTGTTGTGCCTGTCCCTCACCTTCAGAGCTGATGGACGGCTCCCAAGCACTTACGCAGTTTATTTAGATTTATTTAATTGTTTTCTCTTTGCAGGCTATGTTAGATCAGCTTTTGGTTGCTTGCATTTTTTGCCTTTATTTGAATTGCCTTTTGTATTTATTTATTTATTTATTTAGGGGGTATTGCATAATAATAATAATAATAAACACATAGATTATTTATTTATTTATTTAGGGGTATTTTCATAATAATAATAATAATAATAAACACATACATAAATTATTTATTTATTTATTTAGGGGTATTTTCATAATAATAATAATAATAATAAACACATACATAAATTATTTATTTATTTATTTAGGGGTTATTTTCGTAATAATAATAATAATAATGATAAACACATATAAATAAATTATTTATTTATTTTATAGTTATTATTATTATTATTATGACAGTACCCCAAAAATGATTAACTCTTAAAATAAATAAGATTGATAATAATAATTATTATTACTATTATTATTATCTTATTTATTTATTTAGTATTGTTGTTGTTGTTACTATTATTTCAATAGTATTCATCTGTCCCAGTCCAAAGCCAGTACATAGAAAATATTGCTTTAACCCTCAATTTGAGATCCCTCAACAGTGTGTGCATTAATCGGGGGGGGGGAATCATCGCATTTATTCATCTTCTTATACTTGGGGTCTAATAGTATTAGGAAACATCTCGAAGTATCACCCTGGTACCTCAATATTAAGTATATTTCTCAGACCCCAAACTGAGCATGAGGGTTGACCTCCTTGTGTTATAGACAGACAAATGCCACGTGTTAGTCAGTTTCAAAAGGCATTCATGAACATGAACTTTAAAAATTTACTTCACTTCCAGCAAAAAGACAGGAAAATTAGGAAAAAAGTGTGTGTGCAGAGTTGGGGGAGGAGGAAGGAGAAGGACTTTGAGGCAAGCAATTAGTCTTTCAGTTGGTGTGATGGGAAGAATTGATCCATGCTGCATGTTGGGGGAGATAAGGAGTGCCCTCCCTCAGGATGCCCCCTGGCCTTCAGCGCAGCAGGAAATGAGAGCCAAGGCTCGTGCTAGGTGCCTCAGCTCGCTCCCACTGGAGTTTTCCTCTGCATTACACCTCCAGAAGGTCAATTCTTCCCACTAACACAACCAGAAACTTCTGACAATCAACTGAGCTTTTATATCATATACCGCCGTTGAATGTTGATTTGAGGCTGAACATTGGTTGTTGAGTTAAAGAGAGCTCTTTCTCTGGCTTTTTCTCAGGGTTTTCCACACTCTCGCTGGCGGACCAGATGAGTCTTCTGCAGAGCGCGTGGATGGAGATCCTGATCCTGCGTGTAGTCTACCGCTCGCTGTCTTTTGAGGACAAGTTGGTCTACGCTGAAGACTACATCATGGATGAGGACCAATCCAAGCTGGCTGGCCTGCTAGACCTGAATAATGCTATTCTTCAGCTGGTGAAGAAGTACAAGAGCATGAAGCTGGAGAAGGAGGAGTTCGTCACTCTTAAAGCTATAGCCCTGGCTAACTCAGGTAAAACGAACAGACGCTATAGATTCCAGTCAGAGCAGACGTCATATTTGATTTGATGTATTCAAATTGTGATACTGTTATGGGTTGTTCAGGCAACAAAACATTGAAAACACATTTTTCAACTAATTTACAATGGAAAAAAAAGTGTCAATGGCAAAACACTAATTTTTTTGTCCAGATTAAATAATATCTACAAAAATTAATTATAAATGCATTTTATAAATATAATGATTTTCTATGATGAGCGTGTTTTTATTTTTTTAATTAAAAATCATTTTGGCATTTTTTTGGGTGGATTATAAAATCGAAATATATCAGTAGTACTGATATCAAAATGAAGAAAACAACCTTATGGTTTTACAAAATCTTTTATTATTACTTTATTAGAAGGGGGAGAAAACTACTGGTGTTGTGGTGCAACTTTCCAAAAACATAATAATATTTATTAATTAATAATTCATGGTATTTGTAAAAACTAAATAAATAAATGAGTAAATAAATAAATAAATATAAAGTATTTAAAAACTTGTTTTAAAAAAATTATTTTAAGAATAATGATTCATGTATTTAATTGGTAAAGAAAATATATGACTTGTTACTTTTTTACATTTTTGGAAATGGTATGAAACCAGCTTTAATAAAGAATACATTTTTTAAGAATTATGATTTTTTTTTTCTTACATGTCATTGGCCCACTTCTATCTGTCATAACCTTGTTTTCTTTAACATCAACTTAAATAAGATGTTTGCTCTGATTAAAATCTACATTCCATTATAATTTCCATTGTCCAATGTGTCTTTGGTTCAAAATCATTAACAAAATCATTTACAGCAATCCTACTGCAAATGAAATAAGATGATGTGTTTAGCTTGAAGTGCACTTGAAGCCTTTTGAATTGCCTGTCATCAGCTCAATTAAAGCAGTGTTTGTTTATTCATCGCCCCTCTTAATAGAATGTGCTGTTGATCATGTATGAGCATGGAAAGAGTTAAGAGTTACTCCCTGCTTTTGATTTCATCTCCTCCTATGGGAATCTTAACAACAGATGTAGTGGTAGAGTTATTCAGGTACAGTTGGAGTGATATCTCAATATCTCCGTCTTTTTTTCTCTCATGTTTTCGCTTCCTCTATTCACGCGCACACACAACAAAACACTAAACAGTGTTCCCACCCCTCCCCGCCCCTTTTGAAATCCTTCAAAAGCACGTCTGCGGCCCCTGTCCGAATTAGCATAAGTCTCTGCTCAGATGCCTCTTAAGTAAGGAGCCCATCACTATGCACCTGCATGTCAATAACAGGCTCTGATGTTGTCCGCCATCGACAGTCGCACCATGGCCCTCTGGCTCCCTTTGTGTTGACCCCATCTTTGAACTTTATCTTGGTTGCTGGCCAGTAGTTTTCCTTTTAATTACAAGAAGGAAACTGTCAATAAAATCTGTTAAATGGGACGCAATGAGCAGCTTGAATGGGAGGGCGGCTATTTGTTCAAATTCTCCAGCGCTCAAGGTATCGACAGTTTGTTTTCTGGGGCCATATGTGACGATCAATCTCCGGCTGGGCCTGGCCATGCTGAAAAATGAAAAAGCAGATTGCTCTTGCTCGCTTGCGGATGACGGCTCGCTAGTTTGGCCCCGGCCCGCAGCCACCGGGGGCCGTTCTGCCCAAAGTGCACCCCTGAGAGAGCGAATGAGTGCGTGACTCTTTTGAGAAATTCTTTTTTTAATTGATTCGACGATTAGCGGTTCATCTCAGTTTGTTGACGTGTACGTCAGCATGCCAAAAGCAGGTAAAAGGGATCGATGAGTGATAGATTTATTCATACCGATGTCGTTTTCGGTCAGCATTTCTGCCTTTTTCACTGACGCATATGCAATGAGACTTCCTGTACTCTGAATTTGGAAATAGTTTTCACACAATTACAAAGAATCGACGAGTAACACACTGACTTAAACGTGAAATTTTGAAGTAGGCATTTTCTTGCAAAACATATTTCAGTAATTTAAAAAATCATTTTTTTACAGTGTAGCCTGATGCATAAGCTAATCTCTAGTCCTGGCTTTTTCTCACCTTCTCGGGTGTCATTCTCCGTATTTATCAAGACTTTCTCTCTACACACTCTTCTCTCAGGAGAGTCATGCATCATGTCCGATTTCACCGATCGATGAAGAGCCGATATATTTCACAGTCCTTCAATAGACACAGTATTGCTTAAGCAATCGATGTCAGAGCGACATTTTTATACTATTTATTTGAAAGCTTTACATTGCAGTTGATCTCATCATGGTGCGCGTTTCTTTTTAAAGGACATAAAAAAGAAAAAGAAAAGTCAGTAAAGCAGTCTGTGACCTCTCGTATCTTCTCCACAGTTTGAATTCAGCCATTTACTGACACAATTCCAGTGTCATTCTGGAAAATCATAACAAATTTGAGTCTAGCGAAGAGTCTTTTTGATAGTAAATGTTGCGTGCAGAAAAGGTGTGTTTTCCTGAACGCCTCCAGCAGCGATGCTGAGATTGATAGAGCAGCTTGTGTGGAAAGGTGCAGGTAAGCACTTTCCTGCCAGGGATTTCTGTCAGATCACAGGTCACTTTTCAGATGGCCAAAGCCTATGTGACTGATGGACGAGACCTCGCTGTCTGAATTCTAGATGGGCTCCAGACACCGAAGGGTTAGTATATCGAACCGTAGCCTAAAGCAGGCTGACGTTTGCCCCGCTGGCCAGCCCAAAGGACAGACGGCGCTCTCTACTAATAACGGAACCTCACAAGGTCTTGCTTTTATCAATACTTGACCATACAATTATTATTTAACGTGTATGTATCAATTGATTCGAGGCAATGCATTGATCGTGACATCTTTGCCAAAAGCCAGTGTGCATTTGGACATTTTATCTGGAGGGAATGGGATCGGATTGACACGCCACAGTAGAAAATCGAGTCGATACTGTTGGTGGAATCAGTCTATAAAGAGCAAGTCAGACAAAGCACTTTCTTTACCACTGTGATGTGATAAAACCATCAAAGCACTCGCAAGAGCATCCAAGGCTTGGATTAGCTGGAAAAGTGCAACTATTTGAGCCACTGGAGCAGTAAACAGCAAAGATAGTAGCTGCCTGAGACTAATTGCGCTCTCAGAGGCACGTCTTTCGCGGTGAACGGCCGTGAATGCTGTACTAACGAGCGCGAATGCAAATGCAGCCTGTTTGACATTTCTGGTAGACAATGCCAGTCAGGCTGAGGTATTGTTTCCTGACTCGAGCCTCTGTTTCTCTCGCTTAGACGAGTGCCATATCAGCTCTCCTCTAAACACTGTTTCTGTCGCCCGTGCCATTCATCAGTCCCATAGAGAGGCTTGTAAACACGTGGCGAGGACAGCCTCAGCGTTTAACACTCAAGTGTGCCTTTAATCACTGGAGAATGAGCTTAGGGCTGGCAAAAAAAGGATGAGTCACATTCTTTTAATCCCTTTCCTTTTGCCAGGACTTCATCCTCAGGTTTCCATCAGGCTGAAATGGATTTAAAAAAAGAAAAGTCCTGTACAGAACTAGTATCCGGGAGTGTCATGCCTATTTAAACTCAAGGGGGCCCCCTTTGATTTAAATGCAACTTCTGTACTGTATATAACATATAATATATGTGTGTCGTTTTGTCTTGTGACAGTCCTATACTATTTTATTTGTATATAATTGTATAGAATTATTTATTAATATATATATATTATTTGTATTAAATGTGTTATATATTGATCCATTTCAATAAAATAGCAGTTTAAAATGTTTATTTATTATTTTTTAAATGCTTTTATGCAGAAAGGATGCATTAAACTGATCAAAAGTAACAGCAAAGATGTGTAATTTTACAAAACATTTCTACTTCAAATAAATACTGTTCTTTTGAACTTTCTATTTTCTGAAAAATGTCACGGTTTCCACAAACATATTAAAAAGCACAACTGTTTTCAGCATTGAGAATAAGAAATGTTTCTTGAGCACTAAATCAGCATATTGGAATGATTTTTGAAGGATTGTGTGACACTGAAGACTGTAATAATGCTGAACATTTTTCAAAAAATGTTACTGTATTTTTAATTAATTAAATGCAGTATTGTTGAGCGTAAGAAACATCTTTCAACAAAAAAATTTTTTGAGTAACATGTCTTATATCTTTATATATTACTAAAATTTTAGAAGTTGCAAATAGGGCTGTCAACATTTTTTTTAATTTTGAATATTCGTCTAATTTAAAATAAAAATCCACATTTTAGGTGTACGTCAGGCAGCCTTATCAGTGGGGCACGAGATGCGATGACGATGTAACTGTCGTTTAAATGAAAAATGTACTCTGTGTGATTGGCTTTCTGCCCTTTGTATTAAACTATGCATACATACATGATGCTGTATTGTTTATAGTTGTCTAAGCAACTTAATTAATTATAATTGGTTTATAAACATTATTTTAAGCATTATGCTCTTTTTTTCACAGTCATGTTATCTTGTGCTTTGAATAAACGTGCATTAGTAATATTTTGCTCGATGCGCTCTCTTGTGGCCTCAGAAGAGAAGCCAAAAGCTTTTCTTCACCCTAACTGAAATTATGCATTGTAAATTCGAATATAATTCAAATTTTGATAATATTTAAGTACAAAATTTGAATTTAGTTTGTCAGCCATTTTGACAGCCCTAGTTGCAAAACTGATTTTCTTAGTGAAAAAAGTATTGACATGCATATGTTGTATTGTACTGAATTTGTGTTTATTTCTAAAGCCACTCATCATTGTTCTGTATTTTTTTCCAGATTCCATGCATTTAGAGGATGTGGAAGCCGTGCAGAAGCTCCAGGACGTGTTGCACGAGGCCCTGCAGGACTACGAGGCGGGCCAGCACCCGGAGGACCCGCGCCGAGCCGGCAAGCTGCTCATGACCCTACCGCTGCTCCGGCAAACATCCACCAAGGCAGTGCAGCACTTCTACAGCATCAAACAGGACGGCAAAGTGCCCATGCACAAACTGTTTCTGGAGCTGCTGGAGGCCAAGGTGTAACCGCATTATACCGACAGAGAGCTGGAGGGGGTACGTCACTGACTGCACCCCTTCACCGGGCAGACACTGACTAACTCTCTGCCACTGTTTGTGAAACCTTTGTCTATAAACTTTAACAAATAATAACTAAAACATAACCGCAATGGTACTTCTAATTACTGACAATGATACGTAAATATAAGAATGATTTAAAATGTGATTATTGAGAAAAATATGAAGTGTAAAAAATGACTGCTTTCATTATTCAGCAGTGGGACTTGAAAGCAGCCGTCGACTTGTTCTTCTCGAAAATCTGATGCTGAGTTTTTTTGTGCTATTGAGACATTTGATTGATTTTCAAAAGAGAAATTCTGGAGCCGAAAAAAGCCCTGCCAAAGGAAGGAAGTCCACCCGGTGGACACCAGCAAGCGAAACTTTCCCCGAACTGTACCGTCCAGCTCCCATGTCACTGAAGGAATCTAGGGATTTTTTACACTCTTTACCATAAGAGTGTAACGTAGTGACTATGTGCAGTATTACATTAGAGGTCCTCGGAGCAGTTTAACAACGCGATAGCCAAACGGAGATTTTCACATCTTTGAAGAAGCTGCTCCTCACCATTACGTAGCCATGCGGACTGATCATGCGTGTGTCACTCCCTTGTCGTTTTCTTTCAAGTCTTCCAAACACGTCTAGCCTCTTTTACCGATTTCATTTTGATCTTTTCAGGGAATAGCCGAAGCTTTAGTCTCTCATGCAATACCGAGCAAAGAGGAATCGCAGTGGTCAAGGAACAGACTCATTTATTTATTGACTTTATTTTATTATGTTTAATTCGAGTGTATTTTTACTGTACTGAAGGATGTAAATATATGGTACGGTCATCAAACACGATGTTTCTTCATATAATGTTAATAATTGATCGTTATGTTTTTCTACCGACCACCGTGTTGCGTAATGAAGACAAACCCCTGCTATCTTCTCTAAGCAATAGATGTTTAAAAAGTGGAGGTGTAAATGTATGCAATTTTGTTTTTGGTTTCGTTTTTTTATTTTCTTAGTGCCACACTTACTTGGGAAAATGAATTTCCAGAAGCTTTCGCTTTTCTGTCTGTGCTTGTCATAAAATGATAGATTACATACATGATATGGCCTGAAGGACCATAACCATTATCTCAAGCCAATTATATATGCATATATATTAACTTCAGCCTCGAAATTCTATTGACATTCTTTCATACTAAAACAGTATTTGAACTTTGTTAAGCAAAATAGCACTTAGGGAAGACGGAGAAGCATCGCAGGTTTACTTTCACGACGGTCCTGATTTTTACGCGGAATAGCGCCAGAGATATCATACACGTGACGTAATCTTCTTCCAAATGACATTTTTAGCAGAGAGGCTCAAGTATCAAAGCAAGCGATCCACAGCCTTCATCAGAAATATGTCAGTATTAGTATGGGGTATTTTCTGAATATTCTTAAGCATTGTATATTGTAAATTAACAGATTATAAATCTAACCTAAGACATTTTATTGGAACAGATCAAAGAAAAAAAAAAAAGAATGAAAAATGAACAAAAAAAAAATGTAGTTCAGCTTCTTGGTGTTTCATGTCTGCTGTGTTTTTCTGAAACATCTCTGTTTTTTTTCCCTTTCCGCAAAAGATGTAGTGTACTACCCGTGGTGATCGCAGGTCTCACTGTTCAGTATGCGTTAATTTTCTCTCTGTTTTTTCTTTTCTAGTTTTGGTTCATTTTTTTAGAGACAGGGTAGAATTAGAGACAATACTGGATGTATGAATCCTCAGGAGCAAGATGATGGGTTCTCAAATAACCTTTTGAAAAAAGACTCTTCGTAGTTACCGCTAGATCAACCGATCAACGATCAATATAATCTATGCTGATATATAAGTGAATATTTAAAAGGAGGTGCATTATATGTACAAGAGACCATCTGTGTAACTCCTATCTTGTAGACTAACACTGTATATCATAGGTTACGATGACAAATGCTTTGAAATAGTACATTTTTTCTTTCTTTCTTTCCCCTCTTTTTCTGATTTTCCTTCTCTTTTAACAAAATGCTGTACATAAGGCCTTCATGCTGAACTCCATTGGTATATATCTTGACTCTTTAAGGTTGCAAAGGGAAGAAACATTTTTGTTTGTTTTGGTGTAAGATCGGTTTTCAAAACTATCACTTTGACTTTGTGTGCTTAATAAAAATGACGAAAAAAAAGACGAAAGAACAGATCATTTTTTAAGGCAAACTGGGAACGAGGGTTTTTAGTTGCTTTTTCTCAGCCTTGTTCTATAAATACACTGTATCTATCATTAGCTATTCAAAACTCTTAATAGATTGTGCTTTGGAAAGGTTAGTGTAACGTGACTCTAGATCTTACCGCTCATGGCAACTCATCAGATGGTCAAAACGTGGGTTTGGGGGTTTCTTTGATTGGTTTCTTTTTTGTGTTGTCTTTACTCTGAGGTGATCACGATGGAAATGAAGCAATGTGAAACTACACAAGCATTCTAATTCTGTTCAGCGTTGTAAGATTTCACGAAAAACTAGAACAAGCGGTTCCAAACTACACTCAGTCTTTCAGATATGCATTTTTCCAAGTTGCTTTTAGCGCACAAAATGAAAAAAAAACAAAAGCAAAATACTTTTATGACATGTACTGTGTAATTTTGGACAAATCGGTACCCAGACCTCTCGAACCATTTAAAGACAATTTTACTGTGTCTTTTAACACTCGTCTATCCAGCATAGAAATCAAAGTGTAATTTATCCGTACCCACGATGACTTTTTTTTAGATATATTTTCTTATTTAAAGCAATATGACGGTACAACGTACAGTTGTTGTACAATGTGATTCGATTAGTGATCAAATGCTGTATCTATTGGACTATTTTGCAGATTCTAGGATAATAGGATTAAGGATGATCAGATATACAAACAACTGCTATTTTTAAATGTTGAAGGTTAGGTGTTGGTTGTATTTATTCATGCATTGATGCGTCTGCCAAACGCATCTAGGCTTCCTGGCAGTCTCATGCAGAAACCGGTGTGGGAAAGGACGAGATCCAGAAGGAGGAAGGGGAAAGAATAAAAGAGCATTTGAGAAGCTTCTGTGATCAATATGATAATGATATATTTCAAACCCAGGAGTTGCTGAAACAACCTGTAGTGAGAATCATGTCTGTAGTTTTATCGGTAAAACTATTAACTGTATATTTTTGTGATGTGCATCATTACAGTGTGCTCCAAACAATATGTCCATTTGTGTAAATGTATTTATTTTACATTGTATATATTGTTCAATGCAAAAAGAGAGACCTATGATTCTGTAACTACGATCAGTTCAGATGTGTAAGTCCAATTATGCCTTTCAGGATAATAGTAGAGCAATATTAAACATGCTTCCAGTTTTGACTCGGGCTGTGTTTTACTGTGCGAGAACATGTTTTCAGTCTTAACTCATTGTGGATTTATTTATTTATTCATTCATCTGTTTATTTATTATTTTTAGTGCTCTGTAGACTGCCTACTGTGGGTTAAACATTATGAGAATCGAGACTAAATATATATTTATTCTATTTTTTAAGGAAATTAATACTTTTATTTAGTAAGGATGTATTAAATTGATCAAAAGTACAGTAAGTACATTTATAATGTTACAAAGATTTCAATTAAATGCGGTTCATCCAATAATCATTAAAAAAAATTAACACAGTTTTCACTTAAATATTAAGATGCATAACCATTTTCAACGTTGATAAGAATTGTTTTCAAAACATTTCTGAAAGATAATGTCACATTGAAGACTGGAGTAATGACTGCAGAAAGTTAATTTTTGCCATCAGAAATAAACTACATTTAAAAATGTATTACAATAGAAATAAGTCATTTTAAATTGTACACTCTAAAAATGCTGGGTTGTTTCAACCCAACTTTGGGTCAAATATGGACTAACCCAACTTTTGGGTTAAAAATTTAATTAAAAAATTTAACCCAACGGTTGGGTTAGTCCATATTTGACCCAAAGTTGGGTTTAATTTTTTAGAGTGTAGTAATTTCTTAAATATTACTGTTTTTACTGTATGTTTGAACGAATAATTCCAACCTTGTTGAGCATAAGAGGTATTCAAAAACATCAATATAAATCAAACAGAAATAGAGAGAGAGAGAGGTACTTTTAGTGTCATTTTGGTTATTATGAATTATGAGCTGTTTTTACAAATCAGAAACTCTCAATCACACTCTTGTCAAAACATTGCACTTATTCATTTTTTAGTTTAAATTAATAGAAATATATATATATACATATAACTATTTAACATTTGTAACTATAAGTAACATTTGGATACAAATTGGAATGACAAAGTAGTCTGTATTTATTCATATCCTGCTTTTCCTATAGGAAAAAAAAACACTTATGGAATATGAATAATGAATATAATAGCTGATGAGCAGTATGCTGGTATCCAGGCAATAGAGCTGTCTGCTTGGCTACTTGACTTTTTTTCCTCTCAAGAGCAGTCTGTCATTGTTTTTTTTTTTCTTTCTTCCTGCACTGGCATCTTCACGCAGCCACACTTCATTCTGTCGCGGTTACAATATTATTGCGTCGGAAAGGGGAAGAAAAATGGTGGATGAGCAGAAAGTTCTTGACAACTTGATGCAGCGTTTGAGGCATGTCCACTCAGAGGGTAATCAGCCGCTATGCCCTGAGGCTTTACAGCAGACACATTGATGTACTGTAAGACAACGGTCCTAACATCAGCACAGTCTCCTGGTCTGCCCACATGCAGTCTGTCTCTCCTATAAGACTCGGCGGGCCAAATGAGGAGCAGGAGATACAAACATCAACAAGAGGAAAGCATTTAGGATACCTAAATAGCAAGCCTCAGTTTTTACACCCTGCTGCATAATAAATTTGACAAAAAAGACAAATACAAAGGCTATTTAATGCCTTTTCCTGTATATAGACTTGAAAAGAAAGAAAATATAGCACTATATAGTAAAATAGCATTGTGTGTAAAATCATCTGCAGCTAATATGTATCATATAATGTGGGGAGACATTTAATGTTCTGTAGCAAAAGCGTTTAAGGCTTTAAAACAGAGAGCAGTGACCTGCAGGCAAATATTTTTCAAGAAGATGACATCATAAGATATTACTTAAACAGGGCCCCGTTGGCGGCCCACTTTTTTTTTTATTATTATTTGTGCTGCGGCACATACATTTTACTCATCGACTTCGGAGTTCATTTATTTTATTTTATCTTTACGCCATTGATTCATTATTATGATACAATAAAAGCTACTTGAGCATTTCAGCTGCCAAGTACCGTTATCATTAACCTTGCGAGACGCTAAAAGTGCTCCATGGCATTTGTAATGGCTCTTTTAACTCTTTCCACTCTTCCATGTTATACGGCTGCAATGTGGAGCTGCTGTAATTGGGTTTTCACT